GAGTTATCACCGAAACTTCAAACAGAATGAAACAAATTGAAAGAAGATATTCAAACCATACAGGAATAATTTAAAACCACTGCGAAGATTTTGTGAAAATAAACTTTAAATAATTTAAACAAACACGTATTTTTTATTTTGATATGTTCCAATACTAAAAAATAAAGTTATCGCTTATCAAAGATCGAGATTTTAAAACTTAATTTATGGACACCGCGTGCCGTGCGTCAGCTGAGCGCTCGCTCGACGCCGTAGGTATGTACTCGTAGGTACCTATCTACACGGGTCACTGACCGCTCATTTTGTTAGATTCGAACTAGATTTTATGCCATGATCTGAGGTGATTTCTAAGAGTAATTCCAATTTTCCCTTCATACTTTTATGGTAAAGGCCATCAAAATGCAAAAAAATAAAAGAGACACAAATTCGTTACATAGAAAAAAATAATAACGTTATGCCAAAGTTACATAGGTACTTCTGCGTTAAAGCGTATTTAAAAAAATGGAATCAACTACGTATTTACAATAATGTTGAATTAAAACAAATACCTAACTAATTACTTACCATGTATTTTAATATTTTGTTCAAAATGATGTCCACGTCTGTCCAGACATAAACGTGCACATTTCATTAAATTGTCATTTAATTTATTTAAAACACTAGTGTGACTTTTCACTTTACTAAAAGCGTTATTATTTTTTATTGTTAAGTCTTCTAGACTTTGTGCCTCCTCTTCTACATCTCGGCGTTTGACTTCTTCCCATAAGAAACAAGATGTTTGCATCGCGGTGATGTAGAAGCCACTCACATAAGGCTCGACGTAGTACTGGATCTAGGTCATGGAACTGCTGAACCGGCTGAAAGTGGTACGGATGGAGTCCTGCTGTTCTTAGCAGCTTCAATACCGCAGGCTGACTCACACCAAAGAGACATGACGCATCGTGGGTACTGACTCTGGGACTTCGTCTATTAAAATGGTTCGAAGCATTAGGGACCGCGGGGTTACGGATCCCAAAGGCCCGCATACGAATTATGCTCTTCGTCGCACACTTTCTCCGAATTGCGCTTATATAGGTTCCCACCACTCAGAAGATAAACTCGTACCGTCTCGTAAAACTCACGACGGCGGGCGCGTCGTGTGCGCGGGAACGCGAGGGTACGTCACATCGGCGCGTGCGTATGAGTCTCACTGCCGCCACTGACGCGCGCGTCGCTCAGTCCCGGCGGGGCGGCGGGGTCTGTGGCGGGGGGCTACCGGGCGCAGCGGGGATGCACTGTGGTATACGCAAGAGAAGACGTTTTAGTATGGTAATATTGGGCATTCTGTCCCCCACTCGTTCGTGTCGGCGTTTCGCCACCACTCACTCATGAAATGACAGAATGCCCAATATTATAAATGGATTCAGTATAAGAATTTATTAGAGAATTCACGCTTTTTAATTAAAGTTTATTGAATGGATAATCGACTAACCTGGTGACCATGGCAGCGAGATTGATCACATTTTTTCACTACACTGACTGAAACGTAAACATTCATTAGATTCCTTTAATATGCCTAACGCAATGAACATAGGTACATATTAAACATTTAGCGATAGGACTACGGTATACTTTTATAACTTTATAGATGAGCAGCTTGCCTCAGTTAACACCCGGAAATTATAGTAATAAAATTATAAACTCTATCCAGTTTGGCTCGTGGTCTCCCTGAATAAAAATTCAGTGCCGATTGCCTCGGAGTTGCCACTAGAGTATCATATTTGTTTTAGTTCTATGAAGTCTCGACCCGATTGGCTCATGGTCTCCCTGAATAAAAATTCAGTGCAGTTTGCTTCGGAGTTACCATCTTGACTTCTAGATTTTTTCTGTACCCGATTGGTTCGTGTCTCCTCACCCAATATAGTTAAAAAGTAATACCAATAACCCCTAACTAGCTAGGTAACATCTAAATGATAATTGGAATCTAATAAATTATTTTGTTTCTCACTGTTTAAATACACACACTTTACACGTTGCTTATCGGAACACTGACTGACTGAATGTACAAACGGTGTGACTATTCAAGTTATAAGCGGAAGCGTTTTAAGAATTGGTTTGAACTGATCGCTATTATATTGCGTTTTTGCCTTGAAATAAAACCAATGTATGAAATTTAAAATAATTAAGTACTCATCACAAAAAAAATATAGTTTAATGTTTAAATTAATAACCAACGTAATAATTTAAACTCACAAAAAGTTTTTAGGTACTAATAGAATAACTAAGGAGATGACTAAACATACATACTTGTGATATATGTATTTATAATCTATCATTAACTAACTTAATATTTTACACGTGAGTATACTTTCATTTAATAATAACACTATACATTCTATTTAGAAAGTCTATTGTTTGATCCTATTTATTTATGCGAAAGTATTCAAGTTAGATAAATATCGCAGTATATGAATCAATGTGAACCATTATAATCTTGTTTTCTTTGACTTGGACCACATTATATGCAACACTGAAGGTTATAGACTAGGAGTTGTAAGATAAATAAAATCGATGACATGATCTAAAATAGATTTAAAACAGAAAATAATTCTTAACAATATTACTTATCGAGTTTTAGATTTTTCTAGTATCCTATCATAGTCCATAAAACAATTACAGTTATGCATCCGCGAGTAGTCTAATAAGCGAGTAACTAATGCTTTTGAAAATTGATTTTATAAAGACTATATGGTTTTTATTTTGTAATAATACGTATTTTTAATTGCTATCTTCCTGATGAGTCGTTGAAACGATTATTATTACTTATTTACATTATTAATAAATAGTAATAGTAAGTTTTTATATTACTATTAATGAATAAAAACTGTGACATGTAATAAATCACTATTATTGAAGAATATATTAAAGAAAACAATATTCAAAGAACAATAAAAACATCTGTTTGAAATTATTTATCACACAGCTCCCGCACTATATAACATTATTCTATAATTCATTTCTGCAACGTTGTTTATGTATATTTTTCTGCAAGTAAGGCATAAAGTGGTATACGACTAACATCCGCTAAATGAAACGTGATACTTTAGCAAGTAAATAATCTTGCCGTGGTTTTACATGTTATTTTTATCTACTAATTATAAAAAAAAAATACTTATAAAACCGAAAAAATGAAATCAACGAGTTTATAAGCATTTTAATGTAAATAATAAAATCGAATTTTATTCAAAAATTATTTTAAATTTATTACATGTTGTTATCATTGTATTGTTAAACGATTTATTATGCTAAGTAAATAGCACAATATATACGATTGAGAAAAAGTATATTTACATAGTCCATATTATTCTAATATCAACATTTAGATGTGTATTATTATCACAAAAATCAAATCATATGAGAACGATGATACAATGTAGAAAAGTATTTTTTTTATATGAACTCATACAAGAACCAAACCCGGTACACCTTTGTTAAAATGATGTTAGCACTGAGGCGTTCCTAATAATCACTCAGCAACGGAGCATTTATATCACCATTTATTATATCACAAACTATGTAAGTATAGCTTGTATGATGATTTCTGTGGTCGAGTGGTTCGCACGCCGGTTGCTATCTTTTAGGTTTTGGTTTCTATTCCTGTTTGGGTCATTGTAGAAAATGAACTTCTAATATTAATACTATCGATAGGCTAACACATCGGTTTCAATGTGTTGCCACTGCTGAGTTCCTGAATTCGATTCCCAGTCGAGTCAATATGAAATATTATCTAATATTTATTTATTATAATTTACATGCATCGATGTATCTAGATAAAGAATAAACACTAAAATATAAAAAACCTCCGTAGTCGATGTCACTGAGGTCTCGGGTTCGGTTCCCAGTGGGGTCAATGTAGAAAAATTTTTTTTGTATATTGCATCAGGTTCTAGATGTTAATGGCACCTTCGATGTTTCAAATACAAGTACATCTTTAGCTACTCATCTTGGAATCTGAGCAATATACGTGATGTGATAATGTTGTGTAATATTTATTTATTCTTCATTTCTAATTCAATGTATTATCGATTTTTATGCAAATTACTTTAAAGCTATTTAAAGTAATTGTTTTTCGTATAGAGATTAAAAAAATATATGAACATTTTTAGAAATAGTTTCAATATAATCTAATAAAACTATTTTTTATTGATGGTGATAATAAGTCCGAGTTATCACGGATAAACTTAGTATACAACCGTCTCTTGTTAACCACTCAACCACGCGGTCTTCATAATTTGTAAGCAATACAGTTCATATTGCCGTCATGATTACGATATTGATTTGTGTCTTTTTTAAATTGATTTACTAACTTGCGCGTGTCATCCGATATGATGCTAATGAGTTATAACTTTAAAACAATAAGGCACATTTTGCTAAATCAACAACGGAATATGTATTTACGTCTTTTTAAATACAATAACAAACTGCTGTACAAGCGTATTTTTTTAAATAAAACCCCGAATTTTCGAACAATTTTCATTCATTCTTCACAAGTATTTGCAAGTACAAAGCTGCAAGAGCGCTGCTGCCACTCCACATACTTCACACCGCTGCCCCAACCTTCATCGAGTATATTGAGGTGTGCACAAGTTCTTAAAAAGTAAAAAAAATAGTGAGTATTTATAATAATTTTACTTATAAATATAATCTATTTGAATTGTTTGGATAATGTTTTCATGTATAGACTTAGTATTCACTCACGAATTATTTTCTAGTTCCAGGTATAGACTTAGTATTTCACTTACTAATATTTGTTTTATTTCCAGGTCTGACTCCGAGTGTGTATCCATTGCTGTTCCGAACGTGATCGCGAAAAGCGCAAAGAAAAATCCAACAAATAAGCGTAAGAGCAACATCAGTTCACAAAGGTCAAAAAGTGATAAATACGTTCAATCGCTACGTGAGTAACTTGTTTCCACTTTTATAAAAAAAAAATAAAAAAATCAAATACCCCTAGTGATAAAATGGTGCTTAAAAAATGTATAAGTTGTATTAAAAAAATTACGCAAAAGTCCCCGGGATTGGAATGTAGCCGCTGTAATAAATACGTTCATGCAACGACTACTTGTGCAAATCTCACAAATAAACAGCTAGCAGCCCTTCGGAACTCCGAAGGTCTGGAGTGGAGTTGTGAAGACTGTTTACGAAATATCTCAAGGCGGTCATCTTACTTCTTACCTGATGAGTTTGACAATGAAGAAGAGATTCAAGAAAAGAATAAGACCGATAGGTATGATAAACTGATAAGTCAAATAAGTTGCGAAACAAGGAAGATTATAAAAAGTGAGCTAGAAAGTCTAACCACAGCAGTGGAATACATGAACAGTCAAGTCAGTGATCTGGAACATACTGTGAAACAACAAGATAACACTATTAAAGCTCTAGTTAATAAGAATTCTGAGCTTATTAAGAAGAATCAAAATTTAGAACTACGAATCGATGCCATGGAACAAAAACTTCAAGAGTTTGATCAAAAGCTTTTATCTACTACTTTAGAGATAGCCTGCATACCAGAAGTAAATGATAAAGATGCCCTCATCACTATACAGAAGATAGCGGAGAAACTCAAGGTGAGCGATCAACAGATATGAGCGCACAGCGAATTACATCCCGCCGAAAGGAAAAAATAGGTCATATCATCGTTGAACTGCAGTCCAAGGGAGTATGCGAGCAGTGGATTGCGTCTGCAAAAAAACAGGATTTAGTGGCTGGTACCATTTGGCCGGATTTACCTTCTGACAAGGCTATGAATCGTATATACGTTAGGGCAGCCCTTACACAACAAACGAAGTCTTTATTATACAATGCGAAAACAAAACTAGGTATTTCTTATAAATATATTTGGTGTAAAGATGGAAAAATATACGTTAAAAAGAACGATAATTGTACTAATATTAATATAATACGTAGTTACTCCGATATAGATATACTGTGTGAATAATAATTTAAATTAACTACTAACTACTGTTTCACTAAATCTTTCACTTTTTATTACGAAGCATTTTTTGCTTTTATTATAGTTTTTTGTTACTAAATCATAAAAATGGGAAATGTTACGGAGATCAATGATTGCTTATCTATTGATTCATTTATAAATAGTGTTCCTTTCGATTGTTCTGATTTGTTTTGCATGCATGTAAATATAAGGTAAATGATTAAGAATTTTGATAAACTACTTATTTTACTTCATTCCTCGAGGTGGTCATTCGATGTTGTAATTTTAACGAAGGTAGGTATATCCAGTGTAATAAGTCATTTGTTCCATATTCCGGGTTACAGAATGTATACACAGTTACGGGAAGGTAAAAGAGGAGGTGGATTAATAATTTATGTTAAAAACTGTCTAAAATTTACACCCACACCATTAAAAACTCATCTATTTGAAAATATAACTGGTACACTCATCACTAGGAATAACTCGGCGGTAACTGTGTGTGCAGTCTATAGACCGCCGTCAACTAACAAAAGTTTATTAGTCGGTGAACTGATTTTTTGAGTCGGTGAATTCAATTCTAATTAACAAATTAGGAAATACCGGCGTACAGGGTCCCCTGTTACAATGGTGTAGCGAATACTTAAAAAACAGATCATACTGCGTTAAAGTCGATGATAGTTTTAGCGGTTCATATATAGCGAAAGAAGGCACCGCACAGGGATCCGTGATTGGGCCTCTTCACTTCATTGCTTATGTTAATGACATGAACAACGTTATAGAGCATGGAACTTCATATCAGTATGCCGATGATACATGTATTATCATAGCTGATTGTGATGTTAATTCTGCGTTAGTCAAAATGCAATCGGATTTTGATCGACTGAATAAATGGTGGTGATAACAAATTAGTTCTTAACGGTACAAAAACTAAACTAGTTTACATTCGTTCACCGCATGCTAAAAACCAAACTGATACCAGTCAAAGGTTGAGAGTTTATGACCACTCATGCCTGCATCTTAAAAATATATTATGTTCATGTCCCACAATTGAAAGTGTTGACAATCACACATATTTGGGTGTAATTATAGACAGTAAGTTCAACTGGTTTCCACAAGTAACACGAGTATGTGACAAGCTTAGAAGGTTCCTAGCCATTATGTACGTAATTAAAGATAAAATTCCTTTTAAAACAAGGAAGATGTTGTACAATGCACTAGCTGAATCAGCAATGGGGTATGGGATTACAAGCTATGGTAGAACTTTTAAAGGCTACATAAATTCTCTGTACTCTCTCCAACTAAGAATATTGAAAATCATTGTACCATCTAGTATAAAGAAGAAGTATGTCAACGACGAGTTGGGTTTGTTTAAATATTGCAATACTCTTCCAATACATAACAAAATAACATATAGCTTATTGAAAGAACAATACTTTAATAAAGAGATCCAAAAAAATATACCACATAAGATCTGCACACGCAAAATAACAAACAAAAAACTGGCTACTATATCTGCTAAAAACATATACGGGAAAAGAACGACAAACTATTTAATTCCACGTTTACTTAATAACATACAACAACCTCTATTACAAAGCATTACCAAAACAAATCTCAAATGTAAACTTAAATCATATTTTTTGCACAACCTGTAAGTCGACGATTTGTTAAAGACCGGTCTTGGGGGTACGCGTGAATTTATACTTTGTGTTGATGCAATATAACATTTGTGGGGTTTACGCTTACCTGTGGATAAGAATTTTGTAACCGTTGTGTATGTTTGTGTTACCTATAGCTTTGTTCATATCACACTAATGTTTTTTTTCACTTCAATTTAAAAAGACAATATACAGATTCACACAATACTTACACGGTGGTTGTTACTGGTGCGTGTTTGATATGTTTAAATAGCTTATTATTTTAAGGTTTTTAATTGTAAAGTTAAAATATTACTTAAAGTGGATCTTTTTTAAAATGTGTTTATGTTCAACGCGATTGTACACAGAAAGTGCATCCCGGACAAACCTTCGTGGTTTTTGGCTTGTACTAATATAAATTGTAATATTAATGGTATTTATAATAAATAGAAAAAAAAGGTAATTTTTTTTTTTTGTTTGTTGTTATTAAGATGTTTTATTTCAGTACATTATATAAACAAACACTTACAGTTATTATAACGAGTCAGAACTAAAAAGCTATATATTAAGGTTAATGTTTAACATATTTTACTGTAGATTGTTCACTTATATGTTGTTAGCATAATGAAATACTGTGTTCGACTTGCGGTAATACCTAATTACGTTTTTTCGTTACATTACTTTTTACAAATCACGAGAAGAATACCGGTTTATATATTATATTTTTATTAAACACTGATAAATATTAAAATTATTTTCAGAAGTATCAACAAGAAGCCAAAGGTGGTGGACATTTTCAGCCTATGTGACGGCGAGGAAGACACCGAAGTGACAGAGGTGAAGTCTTCGAAGTTGTCGTCGGTTATAATAAACAAAGTTGCGAACGGTTCCCAACGTCGATATGCCTCTACAACCGGCGACCTCTATGTGGAACTGAAAGTGTACCACCGAGACGACGTTGAAACCAGTCTCCCAGACGAACGCTGGGAGAAGGCTCTGCTGCGATTGAACTGTTTACTGGAAAACGACTCGACGCAGTGGAAACACTTACAGCGATTTGTAAAAGAAACGAACCTCTTATTTGAGGACGCGAATCCTGTTTTTTATAGTGATAAATTAGAGATTAAGCGTAGCGTAAAATAAATTAAATCAATAAATTATATTTTATTATTAATGAGACACTTTTAGACACAATCATAATATCCCATATCGATTCAGTATAATAGATTTTTTTTAAATTTCTTATTAATAGTCAACCGCTTATTCGTAATAATGCCTTTTTGTACATCTTGTAATACGACAATAGACAGTAGGTGTTGGGTAGGACACTTACGAAGTAACAAGCATAAAAACAATAATAGTTCTCCTTATTGCGATGGGGTACAGTTAATAAAGTCGGCATTTCGTGGTTGCATTGCTGCTTATAGAATAGGAGCCCGTGAAGGCAAGAAACTTTATTCTATAAATTCATTCTTAGATATTCTTCGTTCTAAAGTTGAAGTCCTTTTAGGTGAATCGTTGCAAATTCATATCTGTCTTAAAGTCAACTTTGAACTATTGGGTTGGCACAAAAGTAATGAGACACACTAGAAAAATCTATAACTTTTCCTTTTTAAAATCAATTTTTTTGATAATATTCTAAAATGTTGTAGAACATTCTAGGTACTTCTGGTGTAGGGTATATAAAGCCGCGCTCGCGATTTGTTTAGTCAGTTTGAAGAAAAATGGACGAGCGACAAGTTCGAACACTATACTTATACGAGTACTTGTTAGGCCACAGTGCGCGGGCTGCGGCTGACAATATCAACAATGCATTAGGCGCTGGAAGTACAAGCCATGCGACGGTGTCCCGATGGTTTGACCGTTTTAAATCAGGAGACAGGAGCCTTGAAAGTCAGCCACGCTCAGGGCGACCACCCGCAGTGAATGATGACGATTTGCGCCGCGAACTGCAGTTGAATCCGGATGCTACCACTCGTGAATTAGCGGAAGCACTTAAATGCAGTCACCACGCCGTGGAACACCATCTGCATGAGCTTGGTTATCGAAAAGTTTTGGCTCGGTGGGTACCGCACATCCTTACAGACGCCAGTCGTGCAGTCCGTGTCGCTATCTGTCAGTCACTTTTGCTGCGACCCCCGACGTAAAGAGTTTTTGTCAGATCTGGTTACTGGAGATGAATCATGGATTTATTACGAGAACGATACACGTCGTGCTTTTTGGCTGCCTCGAGAAGAAACGCCACCAACTCAACCGAAGCCGAGTCAAAAGAACCGCCGAAAAATTCTGCTTTGCTGTTTCTGGGATGCGCAAGGCATACTGTTTTATGAGCTATTACACAATGAAACTATAAACGCTGAAAAATATTCAACCCAGCTTACCAAATTATCTGCCGCTATCAAGAAAAAACGACGAAGACGAGTCAATGTAGTTTTACTGCACGATAACGCTCGACCTCACGTCGCATCTGTGGTTCGCCGGCAGTTGGAGAACTTGGGCTGGGAGACGATACCCCACCCACCTTATTCCCCAGACCTCGCCCCATCAGACTATCATTTGTTTAGAGCCCTGAAACAGCATTTGCGGGGTAAACAATTTAATGATTTCTCTGACGTAGGCCTCTACGTTGAACAACAAAAGTTGAACAACTTTTTCGAGGCACAGCCATCAGAGTTCTGGGCAAAAGGCATCCAAACTTTGCCGGATCGTTGGCAAGAAGTCTTAGATACTAATGGTAATTACATCATTGACTAAACTTTTTTTATTGTAATAATAATAAAAAAGTAAAAACTTAAACCAAGTGTCTCATTACTTTTGTGCCAACCTGATATATTCCATGTTTTTATTAATAAAAGACGACAGAGAGGAACTCAAATCATTTGCAACGAAACATTTTTCAATCCACTTAAATTATAATTTTAATGATCTTTATTTAAATATAAGAAACTCTCTGGTTAAGAATATAGAAGAATTTCAATGTAAAGATAGTGGTTGGACATTTTTACATAATTCTCATTTT